ATGATATCACGGTGTGATGAGAGAATGAAAAAAAAACAGCACAAGCCTAAGTAATAGAAAAAGAACAGAACAACTTTATTATCACTTTAAATGTACACTAATCGGCATACATTAAAATGAAATTGCATCGCATACGATTTTTGATATATACACTACATAAACATGACAAACAAACAAATAGATGCATATACCCACATACCAGAGGTGGGTTTCAGCAGGTTCTGACCAGTTCTGGAGAACCGGTAGCAGAAATTTTAAGTAGTTCGGAGAACTGGTAGTAAAAATTCTGACTGGCCCGGCCCACATCTATTCTCTGCCTCCCGAGTCCCAGCTGATCGGGAGGAAATGGGGATTTTGCAGTAACCTCCGCCCGGATTGCGAAGGGTATCCTTCCCCTGGAGTGGGACGGGAATGGAGATTTTACAGTATCTTTCCCCTGCCATGCCCACCAAGTCACGCCCACCAAGCCCACCAAGCCCACCAAGCCACGCCCATAGAACCGGTAGTAAAAAAAATTGAAACCCACCACTGCCACACACCCACATATATTCTATGATACAGAAAAGCAAACACAGTCTAATTCAGATGTATACATGTACATGGCGGGAAAAACGAATCTTGAGAGTTTTACCAGACAGGATGGCATTGAGAAGGAAGCTGTTACAGAATCTGGTAGTCTTGCTAGAAATACTTTTAAAACCTCCTCCCCGAGGGGAGCAACAGAAACATACCATAAACTAAGGTACAGAAAGTAGTTTTATTTAGAGAAAATGTGGTAGAGGTGAGAATCAATAGAGGGTAGGTAGGCTGGATACATTCTTCTGGGGAAGGGCAGGAATAATCTACCCCAGTTGTTTCAAGATTACACTTGAGACTGGATAATTACCACAAAGAATCAATTGGCTTATGCAAATGCTGCTGTAATTGCGTATTTATTTAATCTATATGCCATGTTGTTTTGTTTGTAGCACCAAAACAAGACCTTGCAAGCTTTGTGCATGCTTAACCCACACTTTGGGATTTGGCAGCAAACTTCATTAAGTTGAATGGAATTTACTCCTGAGTAAATAAGAATGCAGCCTTATTCTTTTTATTTCATTTCCAAATAATCAAATGGGGAGGGAGGTCCAATAATCAAACTTTATGGATTGCTAAACTGTTGACTAATTACATTCTAGCGTCATGTTCAAGCAGGTGAGATACAAACCCATCTGCATTCACATATATTGTGTGTGGGGTGGGGAGGGGAAGGGATGCCTTAATACAGGGGTCAGCAACCTGTGGCTCTGGAGCCACATGTGGCTCTTTCATCCCTCAGCTGTGGCTCCCTGTCACTCAAAATATGCATCACAACCACCAATGTGCAACACCCGCCAGCACACGATTTATTGAGCTTTTCAACCCCCGGTAGGCCAACCATGGATAAATCCAAGAAAAGAAAAGTTTCAGAAGAAAGCAGAATGTTTAATTCAACTACATATGCTAGTTTTGTGGCCGCTCAAGAAATAGTCAGGCACAGGAAGGGTTTTGTGGCTCCCGGTGTTTTCTTTTCTGTGGTGAAACGGGTCCAAATGGCTCTTTGAGTGTTTAAGGTTGCAGACCCCTGCCTTAGTGTAGAACCGGTTGTTAACTTTCTGACCAGTTTGACAAACTGGTTGTTGGAAGAAATCATTAGGGCAGAGAACCGGTTGTTAAAATTACCTGAATCCCACCACTGATATAACCACACAAATGCATATAAGGTAAAGTAAGGACTACTGTAGCAGGACTCCCTAGTTTCTGTGACAGTTTTCTTCCTTGTGCCATCCGTCTTGTAAACTCGGGGATTCTTCTTTTCCCCACCTTGTATATGTATACATTTGAACTAGGCTGTGGTGTTTCTCTATATGTGTGAATGTGGGTATGTGCATAATGGTTATCTTTTGAGAGCTGAATGCAATGAAATTTCATTTTAATGTATGCTGATAAGTGTACATTTAAAATGATGATAAAGAATTCCATCCTAGTCCTATCCTATTCATATCCTATCCCATTCGTATCCTATCCTATCCTATCCTATCCCCATCCCATTCCATTCTATTCTATTCTATTCTATCCTATTCTATTCCTGATAGGTATCTGTGTGCTTATACATTAACCAACTCAACTTTATTTTTATTTGTTTTGCTATGAATAAGGAGTAGAGGTAAGGGGAATTCTGTAACTTCAAGTCCCATGGCCACTCAAGACATTTTCCTGCTTGGTCTCGGCTTGCAAGATTGAAGCCCAAACATCACTTCTACAAGCCTGAAACAAACTTGTAACATGGTCCCTCTACCTTTACAGGTGGTCATCGACATACAATCACAATTGAGCCAACATTTGCTAACTGCTAAGCGAGGCAATGAAATGGGTTTGGCCTCATTTTATGACCTTCTTGCCACAGTTGTTAAGTGAATCACTGCGGTTGTTAAGTTAGTAATACGCCGTTAAGTAAATCTGGCTTCCCCATTGCCTTTACTGGTCAGAAGGTCACAAAAGATGATCTTATCAGTCTGGGACATAAATATGAATCAGTTGACAAGCCTCCAAATTTTGATCATGTGACCGTGGGGATGCTTCAACGGTCATATGTGTGAAAAAGTCACTATTTCTTTTTTCAGAGACATTGTAACTTTGAATGGTCACTAAATGAACCGTTTTAAGTTGAGGACTTTCTGTTTGGGTAAATAAGTTTCCAAATATCCTCAAAAATAACCTGCAAATTTAGCCTCATTTTTCCCATCCAGATAATGGGCCTGCAATGCAAGCTGAGTATTAGAATGCTGAAGACTTCCATCTTGTGTGTCACGGATGACATCTCTGAATTCCCAATCATAAGGGAAGAGTAGGGAAAAGGACCAATTTTGACACTTTTAAAGTCAGGTCCCAAAGGTGCTTTTTCAAAAGTCAAACCGGACTTTCTGATTTTTCTTTGAAGACGTTTCGCTTCTCATCCAAGAAGCTTCTTCTGTTCAGTATGTTTTTCCTGCAGATGGAGGGGAAAAAAAGAATCAGATGTTAGCTAGGGCTCTCCTTGATCCTGGTACCCACACAATTCTTGGATGAGAAACGAAATGTCTTCAAAGAAAAACCCGAAAGTCCTGTTGCCTCTAGAAAAAGCATCTTTGGGACAACCATGGTAATTCCTGGGATTTATGGAAATTAAAATCCTATTTAGCTGGAGGACAATGGGGCGTGAATGTGAGCTACATGATATCCAGTTGGCTGACAGATGACTTAAAAGATGTCCAGCATTAGCTTGCCAAGTTGCTATTGTTTTTTTTTTTTTTTTTTGCCATGAAAATGGTTCACTTCTGTGACACTCAAATCATCTTGCGAACAGTAGGCTGACTTAGCTTTGGTTAAAAACAGTAGGATCACAATAGACCAGGATTTAGTATTGGGGCTGCCATAAAGAAGAAGGGGTCAACTTATTTTCCAAACACCAGAAAGTAAGACAGGAAATAATGGATGGAAACTAATCAAGGAGAGAAGGAACCTGGAACTGAAGAGAAACTTCCTAACAGTGAGGACAATCAATCAGTGGAACAGCGTTGCCTTCACAAGTTGTGTGTGCTTCATCACTGGAGGTTTTTAAGAAGAGACTGGACAGTAACTTGTCTGGAATAATATAAGGTCTCCTGCTTGAGCAGGGGGTTGGACTAGAAGACCTCCAAGGTCCCTTTGAGCTCTATTCCGCTTGACTGAACAAATGATTTGTTCAAATCACCCTAGAAAAAAAAATAATCAGACAATAAAACACTTGCATAACTTGGTGAAAATATTTGGCCCCTTGACCTGTGTGAGGTGTTAGCATTCCTAATTTAAACAAAATTCATCTGCATCTTTGGAAACAACTGGGGTGATCAGAGCACGCCATGGGGCGTCACAGAAAGGAGGCCTGCGTATTATTTAAAAATATAGGCAAAAGGATTAGATTAACTATCAGATTATTTGGGGCCAGTTTATTTCCCAGTTCATTTTATAATGATCACTCCCCCCCCCCCCCCCCCCCCCCGAAGGATAACAAAAGCTGGTTGCTAAAAGCTTAAAAGTCTCTTAGTCATTCCTCCCCTTGGGCACTTATTTGTCAAATAAAAGATTTTTTTTATTTTTTTTGGGTGTGCGATTCCCACTTTCACTGCACTCTCCCACCACAAGAAACTCATGTTTCCACTATCCTGATACTTTGGGACCCAATCTGTTTTCTCCATCATAACCTCAGCTTTCCCCGCAATTAATTTTCTTTCTTTTCCTTTTTCTTTTCTTTTCTTTTTTTTTTTTTTAAACTTGGTCACAAGATAATTCCTGACGCCAGAAAGTCTGGAGGTCATATGAGTAGCAAATTGAGGAACAAGGCGGCACTAAGTCCGTACAAGTTTTGCCTCCCCCAATGATGGGAAGCGGGCGGTGAGGGGGGGGGGTGGAGAGAGAGAGATGTAAAAACCTTGGGAAACGTTATAGCTTTTAAAACGGATGGAAGCTTAGGCGAAAAAGAGGAAGGCAGAAAAGTGGAGGGGGGGGGAATCTGGCTGTTTCCTATGGTTCTAAGGATCTGGCGCCCTTCTCTGCTCCATCCCTCCACCCCGCTTAATCATTATTTTAATGCAAAAGGAAAGGGGAAGATGCGATCGACGGATCTTTTGAACGGAGCTGGACTTCATTGAATGGGAAGCGGCGTGCGGGGGGGGGGCAGAAAGAAAGGGAGGGAGGGAGGGAGGGAAGCGGCGTTTGATGGCTTGGCCCCGCCCCTCTTCGCCATCCGAGCTTCCTCATTCCTTTGATGTCCTTCGCTATGTGGTGTCCGCCGGAGCCAATAGAAAACCTGTTCTGGCTCTTGAAAGCCGTCTTGCGAACGTTCCATTCCAACCTTTTCGCTGTCATCGGAGGGGAGGGGCGCTCCGGCCTCATTTGCATAAAGAGGAGGGGCCGGCGCCCGATCAGACAAAAAGCGGCGCTGTCAGCGCTGCAGCTTCGCCGGGCCGAAAGTGTCTTTCGAGCGGATCCTCGGAGTAGTAGAAGAAGATCTCGGCGGAAAAAAAAAAAAAAGCTTGTGGTTTGGTTTGGTTTTTTTTTTCCTCCCCTCCGGTTCGTTGGCCTGTCTTCATTTCCTCGCCTGCAAACCCACCACCCCGTCCTTCCTTCCCCCCCCCCCCCCCCCCCCCGTTTTCCCCCCCCCCCCCTTCAATCCAACATGAAAGCGATCAGCCCGGTGCGGTCGGTCAGGAGCTGCTACGAAGCCGTGTGTTGCGTGTCGGATCAGAGCCTCGCCATCGCCCGGGGCAGCAGTAACAAGAGTCCGGCTTTGGAGGAACCCATGAGCATCCTCTACGACATGAACGATTGCTACTCCAAGCTGCGGGAGTTGGTGCCGGGCATTCCGCAAGGCAGTAAAGTCAGCCAGGTGGAAATCTTGCAACACGTCATCGATTACATCTTCGATCTCCAGATCGTGCTGGAGGAGCAGGCGAAGAAGGGGCAGGATCCCTCGAGCGAGGCTTCTCTGCTCTCTTTAAAAGTAAGTTGGAGGGAATCCTAACAAGGGCTGGCAGGAAAGAGCCACGCAGCGTAAGGGAGAGTGGAGTGGAGTGGAGGTGGGGGGGACTTTTAGTGCCTTAATAGTAAATGTGCTCCAGACTCCCCCATCCCTCGACTTCTCTCCTTTTTTTCCCCCCCCCACTACCCATCGCGCTTGCTCTTAGAACTACAACACCCATCGTCCTCGGGAGGATGGAGAAGGAGTAGTAATGCAGCGTGGGGTCGCCCACTGGGGCTTCTCGCTCACGCCGCCAGATGACAGCGCAAACGGCTTCTGGCAGCCCTTTGCGCCGGTCTCCCATGCGCGCCACTGGGTCATCGAGAGCCGCTTCTTTGGTGGAGGAGACGCGGGGGGGGGGGCAAAGGTTCATTATCCCGGGCTTGTCCCGGAACAAAAGCCCTAAGGAACTTATTTAGGCGAAGCGGGGGGAGGGAAGGCGCTGAGGATTTCCACTGCCCGCCTAAATTTGAGCGTGTCCACTGATGTCCGTTTCCTTGAAATTATTATTTTTAAAAAAGTTCTATTAGAAGTTTTAACCGAGCGTTCAGGCTTGTCTTGGAGTAGGGAGGTGTGGAAATGAGGGAGCCACTCGCGCAATCCATCCAAAACTGGATTTTAAAAAAATTGGCTTTAGAAAAAATAAATCGCGAGAAGGAGGGGAAGGTTACAAGAACCACAAATCTGGCGTTTTGTCATCTTGAGTCTCAAATCTTTAGCAAAAAGCCGACGATTGACACAATTAGAAATAGACCTGAAATCCAGACTTAACTTGAGAATAAGACTCGTTCAGAGTTGACTTACTTGGCTTGTGTTTTTCCTTGGTAGGAAGCCCCGTTACTAAAATAAAATAAAATAAATCCGAGAGGGGTTTTCAAACAAACTGGCCTATGTCACCCACCCCCCCTTTGCAGGATCTTTTTACAGTCCTTCAAAAATGGGTTAATTGATATGTATCTTTTTAAATTGTTTTTAATGTTTGTATCTATGTTTTTTACTTTGGCTGTACACCCGCCCTGAATCCTTCAGGAGAAGGGCGGTCTATAAATTTGATAATAAATAAATAAATAAATAAATAAATAAATAAATAAATAAATGTGAGTAAAAATAAGGATTTGGAAATAATTGGTTCCCATTCAACCGGTGGGTTGATCTAGTAGAGAAGACCTCAAGAATCCCAGATCCTGTTTCAAAAGCCTGTAGCAAATCCTGTGCTTGTTGGCAGAGGGGGTGGGAGGGTTAGTAATGGAGAAATAAAAAGAAATACACCTACAGGTCTGGACATCGATCATTTTGAAGAACTGTATTTAAAAGTTTATAGTCAACCGTTTCTTCTCTTCTTCTCCAAAGGCAGCTGAACTTGCATCGGAACTGTGCTCAAAGGAGGAACGAACCCTTTGCCACCACTAAAAAGGCTGAAACAGGTACGGGCAACTTGAGTTAGACCACCTACTACCCTCTCAACCCCTACTCCTCCCTTTAAGCCACCAAAACCTCTTGGAAAAGCCTACAAAAAGGAAGCGAAGCCTTGTTTTAAGGGCTTTGCTGGCTTAGAAAACTAGGTTACCCACAGTAGCCTTATATGACTCCTCTCAGGCTAAGAGAATGCGTCTTTTATGCCCCTTGTTCCCGTTGCCAATTCTGCAGCAGCTTGGGCTGTGTTTTTTTCTTTTTTTTTTTTCCTTTTCTCTTTTTTGCCTGTAAATGGAGTCATTATTTTTACAATGTCATTCTTTTAATAGCTTTAAGTCTCTGCAGCTGCTTAAACAGCCCTGTTGAAATGAGTGAATCAAGAGGCACTCCTCTCTCTCTCTCTTCCCCCCCCCTCTCTCTTTCCCTCCCTCCCTCTCTCTCCTCTTCTCCCCTCCTCCCCTTTTGGTAGTCAAGAAGACACAGCTCTACAGTTTTTCCCCTCAATGGCTGGAATCTGTAATTTTAGTTCCATCTGCAGAGAGTTCCGAAAGAGAAGCTCTTGCCTTTTGCCCCTCCCGCTTCCCCTCCCCTCCCTTCCCTTTTGGTTGTTTTGGTGCCAATTAGCCAGCCCCCAGCTTGGCTGATTCCTTATCAGCTGGAGGTACATAAAAAGTTTCCTTCCAGGCGCCAGGCTGTCTGCAGACCTGCCTCTGATCTGTTGCTCAAACTGACAAGAGCTTTTCTTTTTTTTTCCCCCACCCATTCAGGCTGCAGGTGTGGGATCCTGACACTGGGTTCTCTCCAGCGAAAGAAAAGGGGGAGGAAAAAAAAAAAGAAAGGAGGAAAAAAAATAAAAGACCTTGACTGGAGAAAGAATCAGCTTGTTCCGAAACTGGGCATCTTCCCCTAAATGGACTGGACTTCCCTTCCCTCACTGCCTTTATCTTCCAGATAAACTGTGGAACGAGATCACCCCAAGGCAGATTTCTGGACTCTGGCTTCCAATAACAACTTAAAAAAAAAAAAAAAAACTTCTGTGTTACTTTTTATCTTCCATCAGCCTGAAAAGGAGAAGAAACTGCAGGCCAGAAGTTAGGGGTGCTGGAGGCGGGAGTGGGGAGAAAAGCAACTTGCCTTTTATTGTCAAATTACTCATTGGATTTTGCTGCATTGCACAAGAAGGAACTTGGTATCCTAAAGCAGTTTTTTTGACAAAAGGTAGAAGAAGAAAGGAGGGGGGGAGGAATCCCTCTTTGAGCCACCAGATTTGTACTGCACATTGTTTGGGTTGAGGAGAGCTTAAAAAGAATATGTGGACTTCATACTTTCAGAGTTTGCAATGCTTTGGTGTAAGAGATCTATTGAGAGAGAGCTGTTTTTTGCTCTTTTTTTCCTAAAAAAAGAAATGAAGCAAAAAAATAATAATAATGCAGATAACGCAGCTTGTTTGTATATTTTGGATTATAGTTTTTTAACTTCAGTTTGGGGGGGTGGGGCGGGAAGGGATGTTAAGACTATGAAAACTGAACTCACTGGAGGTTGGTTGAGCCTCATGAGTTAAATTGTTGAACTCTATAATAGAGATGACATATGTACCTTTTTTTTTGGCAGGAAGGTGAATTTCTGTTTCCGAGAATTGTACTTGCTTTGTGTAAAAAAAAAAAAAAACAACCAAAAAAACTTTTTATAAAAGTTTCTTAATAAATTTTAAACTTTTTTTTTAAATTCCTTGGAAATTTTTATAGGGTTTTTTTTTTTTTTGGTCTTGGGAGGGAGGAGAGACTAACTTAACATCCGTGGACGCCATCCAAATACAGTTTGATCACATGTTTTAAGTCCCTATTTTAATGTGGGACAATTATTTAGTTCTGGATGCTGAAGAAGAGATCTTCCAAAGACCCATAATCGCTGTAAATTGTAACTTCCTGGAATAATTATAATTCCGTTGGCAATTATTTTTAGAAAAACTAATTTAACCCCCACATTTAAAATATTAGCCTTAAAATCAGGAGGCAGCCAATCTGAGAAAAGATTTAGATCAGCTTCTGCTTGCTGATTGCAGTAAAACAGGGGTCCTCAAACTAGGCAGCTTTAAGACTTGTGGACTTCAACTCCCAGAATTCTCCAGCCAGCTAAGCAAAGCTGGCTGGAGAATTCTGGGAGTTGAAGTCCACAAGTTTTAAAGCTGCCAAGTTTGAAGACCTCTGCGATAAAAGAAAGATGCTTTAGCAAGAAGGATCACTTTGTGTTACTAGGGTATTAGTCTAAAATTCCTGATTGCCAAACAGAGCTGCTTGCAAACTTAAGTTGGCAAATATGCCACTGCTTTAATATTAGAAAATGGCATAATCTCTCCAGGGAAAGTGCTGAAAATTTGTGAACAATATTGAGCAATAAATCTATCTGGATTTAAAAGTTGAACAGGGGATTTATGTTACTAAGATTCCCACCCTCCATCCCCCACTCTATCCTGTGTTGCTAATGGAAGGCAGATTGATACCCCCAGAAGTTAGAAAAGTGCTGTGTGACAAATTCGGAAATTGCCTCGTCGTTTCTGGTGGTGGTGGGGAATGTTTATGGTATGATGTGCAACCCAGCTTTGTTGGACTGCAGTGAAACAAGCCTATATAACGCTAAACTCGCTTGGAGATTTGGCTTCACTGCCGTGTAGTTTTTCAGTCTTCAGGTAGTCGTTGGACTTTAACCAATCTTGCAGATTTCTACAGGTAGTCCTCAACTTATGACCCCAATTGAGCCCATAATTCATGTTGTAAAGTGAGAAATTTGTTATCTCACTTCTTGCCACATTTGTTAAGTGAATCAACTGCAGTTGTTAAATTAGTTAATATGCTTGTTAAGCGAATCTGGTTTTCCCCATTGTCAGAAGGTCACAATGACCCTGGGACACTGCAACGGTCATAAATAGGAGTCAGTTGCCAAGCATCCCGAATTTTATTCACGTGACCGTGGGGGGGATGCTGCAACGGTCGTAAGTGTGAAAAACGGTTCATACGTCCACTTTTTTCAATGCTGTTGTAACTGATCACTCACTAAACTAACTGTTGTAGATTGAGGACTATCTGTATATTGTTTGAAATAGGTCGGTACCCAGAACCTGGATCCATAATCTTCCAGAGAAAAGGAGAGGTATAAATGTTAATAAATTAATATTGTGTGATATGATCCGTGGAACTGGGCCATATATATAGGTAGAGAAGTAGCCGTTACACTTAAAATGTTGTGTTATGAAGTTGTGTTACAAAGTGTGCTAATATTCAACAAGTCTTTCTTAAATGGTAATGCCACAATGCATATACTTTCTGGTTTGTTTTTTTCTTCATCCTCTTGTAAACTGAGAGCAGGAATAAGCTTATACGATGCTTAAAGTTGATGGTGCAGTAGGATGGCCCAGGCTGATGACAGGATGTCGCCTACCAAGTTGCATTTAAAGCAGGTGCACCTAGGATAAAGTTGCGGTCTGTTACGGGAACCCAGACAATTAGGGTTTACTCGATAAAAGGAGCTTCATGTGATGGATGAATAGGCAATGCTTAGCATTACTTTTAAATATCAATTATTTGAGTACCTACTACAGTAGCTGAAGGGTTCTGCATATATTAGGCTGCAAAAATAAGTTGAAGGTGCCCAAAGACAATCTAATAATTTCCATTTACTTTTGGTGTTTGGCCAGGACTTGTTAAAAACTATATTGAGTGCAAATAGTTTTGGTGTGATAAGCCAGTTGCCAAGGATCCTAAAATGCCCTATGGTGAAAGTGAACTACAGATCCTGGTTTAAAAACATCTTGGAGAATGGTAAAAACCCAGCAAGGATGCCATACTGTTTCTATTTTTAAATTTGCCCCCAAATTGATTTAGAGCACTTGGCAAAACATGTGGACCTCAGCACTCGAGTTGTTCTTATGCTGGCTGGGGAACTCTGGGAGTTGAAGTCTTAAAAAGTTGCCACGTTTTGGAGACCCTGGTTTCGAGGACAAACATTTTACTCTGCAATATGAAACTATCCAATGCTACGTTGGTTGTTTTTATAATGGGAATACTGAAATGTGACGTGTAGGCATTCCCAGAAAGCTGTTTTCTGCAGGGAAAGAATTTATGCATACAATAGTTCAAAGATATTTGGCAATGTTAGGAGAGGAAAAGGAGGCTGAACACCTCCAGCCTCACATCTGCCAATATAACTAATTGATTTACAGCAGTATCTCTCGCCACTTTTAAGACTCAAAAGTGGACTACAATTCCCAGAATTCCCCAGCCTGCAAGAGTTGGCTGGGGAATTCTGGGAGTTGAAGTCCTCACATCTTAAAGCTGCTGTGGTTGGAAAAATGCTGTCCTAGGGAGATAGGCTATTAAGGAGAGAAAAGGCATGAGACGTTGCAGTTTAATAGAAATTATGCTAGGACTTTAAGACAAGGACAGAATTAAAGCATGGCTGGTTGGGGAATCCTGGGAGTTGAAGTCCACAGGTCTTTTAAAGTTGCCAAGATTAAGAAACACTGGCCTACAGAAACCAACCTATATGATAATACCTCTTCCAGCATTCACACCAGTTTCAGGCATGAGACTCCACAACGAAGCCAGACAAAATGTTTTAAAGTTGCTGTCTCAAGGCATATGATTTATGCAGTCAGGTTGTCCTTTTTCTTCTTTCCAAATCCTCAAGCTGTTATTTATGTTTTGATGTACTGCCAGTTCTCTTGTATCACAGGGTAAAGGTCAGATATGTTAACCAGCCTTGCTGACAATCTTTGCTTAGCCCCTTCCTTTGAATCTCTGCTCTGCTAACATTCATTTAATAGTCACCCCGGAACCTACCGTGTTTCCCCGAAAATAAGACCCTGTCTTATCTTTTTTTGAACCCTGAAATAAGCACTTGGCCTTATTTTTGGGGAGGTCTTATTATTTTGGGGCGTGTGGAGGATACCAGGGGAAACGGAGGGGACCAGCTGTGCATGCATTTAAATATTTTCGGGGAGGGCTTATTTTTTGGGGGGGGGGCTTATTTTAGTGCATGCGCTCAAAAGCCCGATTGGGCTTATTATCAGGGGATGTCTTATTTTAGGGGAAACAGAGTAGTTGATTCCTGCTTTAGCCTCACTGGAGATTGTGTGCTCAAAACTAGTTCATAGCAGTAACAGCAGACAACTATATTGTGGTTTGTTTGGGCTTCTCTTAGGAGCTTGCATGAAATTAAAAGCCAGCCTCCTTGTCACATCTAATTAGTATCTGGCTGTGATAGTAAAAAAAAAAATCCTTAACCAGACCAGTTTCAATCCTAGCAGCTGTAGTCACACATTTTTAACTTCAGTGATTTTAAACAGATTAATGTATTGTGTGAGGCCAGATTACTTCAATAAATTTATTCCTGAGTTGTGTAATTTAGAAAATTGGATTAATTCAGTAACCAGATTTAAGCGTGTTATGAAAATCAACCTATTGAGGAAGCCGATTATTCAATTGACCCATCAATTAATCCATTGCTTTATATTTTTATTTCAAGTAAATTTACACTTAAGGAATTAGGGAAATATCGTTAAACCATTCTTGGACTTGAACAGAATTGGGATTGTCCTTCTTAAAGAATGTCAGGAGTCAGTTCAGATCCTTCTTTCCCTTCGACCTTGAGATAGATCCCATTGGCTTAATTTTTCAATCCATCGTTGAGACAAGCTGAAAAAAAATAAAAATAAAAATGCTGATTCTTGTGCATCCAAAGAATAAATTCTAAATCTCCCAAGAAAAGATGAAGAAAGAAAAGGTTAATAAGCTTACAATGCTACAAGTTTGCAAGACTGCTATATATTAATACGGAAGGGGATAGGACTGTGATAAAATAGGTCGTCAGCGATTTAAAGAAGGGTGGTCACAGACTCTTAAGCCATTGGAGAGGAGAATGAGTCCTCTCCATTCAACAGTTATCTTGAGGGTACAAAGTTTAGGATTGCAGAACTGCAGATGCTGACCAGGTGGCAGCATAGATAGAATATATTTTATTTCTTTGTTGCCCTCTATTGATTATCCACAGTTTTGCAGCTTAGATATAGTAGTTGGAGACAGTTGGGCAAAGTTGCCCTTGGGTACGCCTGGAACTTCTACAGGAACAAGCCTTTGAGGGCTATTTATTTTATAAATAAAAAACAAACTCGCCGAGTTTATTATAAATAAACCCGACTCACTCATCAAGTGACTATATAAAATATTATACATAATATTTTATACAGCAAACATCCTGGCTTGATTCGGTGGTGGAGGCAGACAGTTCCACCCACACTTCCCCCGAACGGAGGCGTGAACATCGTCATTTGTTTCCCGGGCGCAGATGTTTGTAACTTTGAACTCTTGTCTTCCTGTCATCAGTCGGATGCCTGCTGGGGTAGAGAGGGAACATTCGCCTCCAATCTCTCCTCATAACAGGTGAATGGAGAAAACCTAATCTCTGCGGCAGCCCACCCCCAGAAGCAAAGGACATGCCACAAGAAGATGGCATGCGTTCCCTGCCCCCCCCTTCAGAGAGAATAGTACAACCAACTTCGTTGAAGTCAATGAAGGACTGAATCATCTTATTCCTCATCCAGAATTATGGTGCATTTCCGCCATCCTTTGGCTCAAGCCCAGAAATTTCAGATATCGTAGCGAGCCGTATGATTGGTGTCTTGTAAATCAAGCTTTTATGGCTTAGCATATTACATGAACCTAACTAAGGGG